TTTGACCCTTCACTTTCTGAGTCTGGCATATTTCACTTAGTATGATGGTCTTCAGTTCCATTCATTTACCAGCAAGTGCCATAATTTCATTCTTCTTTATGACTGAGTAAAACTCCATTGTGTATATGGACCACATTTTCTTTATCCATTCATCTGTTGAAGAGCATCTAGGATGGATTCATAGCTTAGCTATTGTGAGTTGCAATGCTATACCCATTGATGTGCCTATATCATGATAGTATGCTGACTGAAGTTCTTTAGGATAAAGTCCCAGGAGTGGGATAGCTGGGTCATGTGGTGGTGCCATTCCTCGGCTTTTGAGGAATTTCCGTACTGTTTTCCAAAGTGGTTGTATTCATTTGCAATCCCACCAACAATATATGAGTGCATCTTTTCCCCCACATCCTCACCAGCATTTATTATTTGTACTCTGGCTAATTGCCATTCTAACTGGAGAGAAATAAAATATCAATGTAGGTTTGATATACATTTTCCTGATTGCTAGTGATGTTGGACATTTTTTCACATATTTTTCTGGCCATTAGCATTTATTCTTTTGAGAAATATCAATTTAGTTCTTTTGCTTATTTATTGAGTTATTATTATTATTTTTTGGTGTTAAGTTTTTGGGGAGAGGGAAGAGCAATAAATAAAGGGAAGAAATGCAGAATGAAACTGACCAAATTATGCTATGTACACACATGAATATATCACACCGAATTTCACCTGTATGTGTATATAACACTTATTTATTTATTTATTTATTATTATTATTTTTTATTATCTTCAAGAGACAGTTGAGATGGGGTGGGGGTCTTGATGTTAAGGTGAAGCAGGTTAATAAGGGCCAACCATCAGCAAACTCATTCTATCTGAGCCTGATGGTACATGCTGTAAAACACTAATTTAAAAAGTAATAAATAAATAGAAGGAAGACCAGTAAAATAGAGGAAGTGGAATGGGAGGTGGGAGGAGGTGAGGGAAAGAGGAAGTATTGGGAACTGATATGAAGC